CCATCCAGCCCGGTCTTGAACACTGCCAGGGATGGAGCATTCACCACTTTGGGCACCCTATGCCAGTGCCTCAGTACCTTCACAGTAAAGAACTTCTTCCTTATATCCAACCTGAACTTCCCCTGTTTCAGTTTGAACCCATCACCCCTTGTCCTATCACTGCAGTCCCTGATGAAGAGTCCCTCTCCAGCATCCTTGTAGCCCCCTTCAGACACTGGAAGCCGCTCTGAGGTCTCCACGCAGGCTTTTCTTCTCCAGAGAAGTCTTCTTCTCCATCATAGTCTTGTTGACATCTATATAGTTGGAATATCTGCTTCCAAATGTTTTCTGAGTTTCCTGTGCTGTTCAGATGCTGTTCTCCAATATGAAATGTCTTGTTCCAGGTCTCATTTTGTGGAGAAGATACGTCCAAGATTTTTTGCTGACTTACTGTGGAAATAAATGACTCAATCCGTAAGAGTGATTAGGGAAAAAGCAACAAAACCCCATTGTAATTACCTTAAGAGACAAAAGGAAATCTGAAGGGGGGACAGCAAGACCTGTTTAGTCTTCTGAGAAATTACTGGAAATGACTTTGACTATTAAAAAGAAGACAGAAAAAGACTAGCGTAGGGCAGATTTCCACACCAGCATGGCAAGAGCTAAACAAACCCAAGCAGGCAACTCCCATCTGCAACAACGGAAATGTTTTGTGATTCTACAGGAACTGGGGTTTGTGCCTCTGCTGGGAGTATTTTAGATCCTAAAACTTACCAAGATGCTTTCAGTATGGGCAGAGCTGTTCTTTGTACCCAAATCATAAAATCATAGTTAGGGTTGGAAAGGACCTTAAGATCCCCCAGTCCCAACTCCCTGCCATGGGCAGGGACACCTCACACTAAACCGTGGCACCCAAGGCTCTGTCCAACCTGGCCTTGAACACCACCAGGGATGGAGCATTCACAAGTGAGTTCTTGCTCCTAACCAAGACAGGCTCCGGTGTATTAGGAAAGCGTAGCTGGGCTGCTTTAACTGTGTTTGCACTTAGGGCTTCTGCTAACACGGTTGTGCCTGTCAGGGAGCTGCTTCTCTTCGCATCCCTGACCGCCACCACCTGTGCTGGCAGAAATCCACAGTGATCAGAGGGAAGTGATGAGGATGAAAAGCAAAACCCACAATAAAAAGCTCACTCTGATTACATAGAATCACAGAATGATTCGGGTTGGAAAGGACCTTAAGATCATCCAGTTCCAACGCCCTGCCATGGGCAGGGAGACCTCACACTAAACCATGGCACCCAAGGCTCTGTCCAACCTGGCCTTGAACACTGCCGGGGATGGAGCATTCACCACTTCTCTGGGCAGCCCATTCCAGTGCCTCAGCACCCTCACATTAAGAACTTCTGCCTTATATCTAATCTAAATCTCCTGTTTCAGTTTAAACCCATCACCCCTTGTCCTATCACTACAGTCCCTGGTGAAGAGCCCCTCTCCAGCAGGCTGCAAATGTAACTGTGTGTTTAAATTACAGGTATCTAGACCTCCGCAAGTTCGGCTCAGTTCCCCACGGAGGCTTCGGCATGGGCTTTGAACGCTACCTGCAGTACATCCTGGGAGTGGACAACATCAAAGATGTCATTCCTTTCCCCAGGTTTTCTCACTCCTGTCTCCTGTAGCGCTTGACTCACGGGGAGAAAACTGCTGGTGTGCTAAATGGGTATAGCATGGCAAGGTATGACAAAGTGTGGGTTAGTGGGATATCAAGGTCATTTTTGTATCAGTGCAACTCTTGGTCCATGTAATAAAGGCTTATTGAAAAGAATAGGTGTTCTGGTAAGATTATGGAAGCACGTTTAATAGCGGTTTGTGTCCTCAGTGTGCTTCAGGAGTTTTAATAAATCCCATTTAACTAAAGGGTTAAGATACTCATGAGACCAGTACAAGCCATGGGAGTACTGGATAAGCGTTGTTGGGAGTAGTGAGGGTTTTATGTGAAATACTAATAAAGAGGTGTGACCTAAAATGGACTGGGAGCCAGGAATGCTGTGAGGTTGTAACAGGCATTCATTAAATGCCTGAACGGTGCTTTGAAGATTGAGTGCTATAAAATTGGGAAGTATTGCCATGGCTGTGATGCACTTGCTCTTGCGAAACGGCTACTGTAAAGCATGAATGTCCCCACCCCGAGTTGAAAGCAGATATTGTTTACCTTGGAAGAATCAGCCAAATCTAGCAAGGAAAAACACCACATTGGAACCACTGGAGTGAATTAGGTGAATGATGTCTGAGTTTGTGAATCATCAATAAAGATGTACGCTGGGTTGTTTTGTAACTCTGCATGATTTCTTCTCTTTTAAAACCATAGCACTTGGCATCATAGTGTTCTCTCCATTGTCTTGGGTAGATGTTTCCTTTCTGTATACCCGAAGTAGTTACCCAGCTTCTGCAGGAGGTATCTGTTTTCTGTCCCTGAGACAGCCCATGTCCATGGCACAAAGAAATACTCAGTTATATGAGAGTTCATTCATCTCTCCAGAGCCAGTTTGCAATTTATTGGTGTTTTTCTTGTTGCTCTGTTTTTTTTATTGTGGTTATTGAGAAAACCTCTTGTGTGCTCATCAGACCAAGAAGTTCTGTCTGTATTTTGAAACAACCAGCATATGCTCCCAAGCATTGCATATGTATTAAGTAATTGCTTATCACCCTAGGATCTGAACTCCTTGCCGTCTGTAATGGCTTTATTCTCTCAGCTTCCCTGCCAGGTAAAGAAATACTCATTTCTGTTTTGAAGACAGGATTATGGGGACATCAAGTGACTTGCCGAAGGCAATTGGAAACCAGTGGTTTATTTGGGACTTAAACTGAGGGTTTCCAGCATCCTTTTTCCCTTCCAAATTATCACAACCCAACACATGGACATTTACATAGTGCTTACCGCTCTGGAGCCCAAGCCTGCTGCAGTATAAACAATATATAGAAAGAAAAAGCAAGGTGACAGCTTTGTTGCTAATGAACGTTAGCAATGTGCTGTGTAAATTGGCACATACAACGTGAAGTGGCTGCAGAGCAGCCTTGAAGACTTCTTTTCCAAGTAGATGAAAGAGATTGAAAAGGGGTAATCAACAAGCATTGCGCTGGTGATGCTGCAGTCACAGTTCTCTCGAGTAAGGCTGGATAATACTGCACCTGGAGTGCCTAAAAATACATATTTATGTCATGTGGCACCTGCCACGTTTCAGTTTGGTCCAAGGCTGGGGCTTTTGAGTGATGTGATCCTGCAGACAACATCACCACAAGGTCATTACTGTGGGGTGGTTGTTGCCTGCACTGGGGTAACCCCTGCATATCGAGATTGGGTTTGTATGCCCTCTGTCTGTCTGCTTGATCAGGCAGGTGTTAACTGTGCATGTGCTGGTTTGTGTTGCCTGGTACGGTTCATAGAATCATAGAATGGTTTGGGTTGGAAGGATCCTTAAAGCTCATCCAGTTCCAACCCCTGCCACGGGCAGGGACCCCTTCCACTAGAGCAGCTTGCTCCAAGCCCTTGTGTCCAACCTGGCCTTGAACACTGCCAGGGATGGGGCAGCCACAGCTCTTCTGGGCACCCTGTGCCAGCACCTCAGCACCCTCACAGGGAAGAGCTTCTGCCTAAGAGCTCAGCTCAGTCTCCCCTCTGCAGGTTAAAGCCATTCCCCTTGGCCTGTCCCTACAGGTCCTTGTCCCAAGCCCCTCTCCAGCTTTCCTGCAGCCCCTTTAGGCACTGGAGCTGCTCTGAGGTCTCCCCTTAAGGAACCTTCTCTTCTCCAGGCTGAACTCCAGGCTGAGTTGGTAAGTCTGGTTCCACAAAACAGTTCAAGCGCCCGCCTTCCCTTTCAACCATTGAGTTCCTACATCAGACACCCAAGTGTCTTCCTGCATTTGGACCATCTCTCCCTTTAATGCGTTGTCTTAAATGTTGTTGCCTTTATGTTTTGGAATTACTTCTCTCAGCAGAAAGATGTGGAAGGAGTACAGCTGCCAAACAGCCCCTTCCACACTGTGTGTGATGAGCCAGTGTCCTCACTGAGATCCTTAGTCACTGCTTCTGCCACAGTTGCTGTAAATGAGAGTGCTTGAACTGGAAGCCCATCTCTGAAAACAGAGCGGATGGATGGCAAATCCATCCCCTGCTCAGTCTGCTCTCATCCCCACTGCAGCTCTGGGCTGGCAGTGCTGGGTTTGGCATCGGCAGGAGGTTGTTGATCCCGCTGTCAGATGCCAGGTCTGATGGGCAGGGTGGGGCTAACCAAGGACAAGTGAAAAACAAGGTGTAGAGAAGACAATTGAAGGTACCAAAACATCTTAGGACAATGTGTCATGAGTCACAAGTCGCAGGGAAGGATGGCAGGGCTGTTTCAAACAGTGGTTGTTAGGCCCCGATAGGAGGTGGCAGCTTGCAAGAACCAAGAACTGCTATAATCCACCCTTCATTCTTTGCCTTGCTAAGAGGTCACTGCAGGACAGGAGTAGGTTGAACCTTTGATTTGTAGGTGGTAGGTTTATGATGGTATATGGTAAGAAAGATGGAGCAAGAATGCACTGTGAGTGATTCTTCATGTGTTTCCAACTAGGTGTCCAAGAGGAGCAGTCTCCCTCATCTTCTACATGTATTTCTGTTTCATTCAAAGGTATTTGGTGAGTTGGAGATCCGACGGACAGGGTTGAGCTAAGGGGACATTGTCCTTGGGTCTAAGAGCTCATCCGAAAAGAACTACCCATAATAATATGGCAGAATAAGCAGGAGGAGAGCAGGGTTGTCCCCAGAACTAACCAAAGGAACATTCAGGCTCTGAAGGGAGAAGAAAGGGTTGTCCAGTCTTGAAAACAGCCTTAAACATGCCTTGTTTTTCCTAGTGATGGGAGAGGCTGAGGTCCACGTGTGTGATGATATTGCTTAGGGTTCATACTGAGACTTGTTCCTGTGAGAGAGAAGCCTGATTTCTGGGTACTCAGCAAGAGTGGGAGCTGCTCTCTCCCTCCAGGCTGGCATTGTTCACCTCGGGCTCTGTATATACAACAGGGGCTGGTATTGCCAAGGAATGCGACGTGTTTTCCCTGGGATTTCCATGTGGAATGTCATGTATTTCCTTCGGATCTCCTCTCCCGGAATGAAGCGGAAGTGAATGTGGAGGGAGAGGGGAGGTCACTGCTCTTGGACCTGTAGGCAGGGGAACACACTGCGAACTGCTCAGATGGAAGCAGGTTTCTGTGCTATTTCTTCTCTTAGAGCCTGCACTGTGGGAAAGGCTGAAGCCACATCAAAACTGACACTTCCTCAAATAAAAAGCCATTATTCTTTGCACACAGGAATCCTCTCTTAGCCTGAACATCCAGTGCAGTGCCTTACACTGGGGTGTTCTCAGTGCGGCACGCGGTCAGCTCTCCAGCCCAGGTAACCAGCACGGCCTCTTCTAGCATCCCTTTGGTGAGTATCTCCTCAGGTTCCAGTTCCTCAAAGCCTCTTTGCAGGTTTATCCTCAGTGTGAGCATCAGAGGAAAGAATCAGCATCACTGATTACCGCATCTGTGGCTTTGCAACGTTAGGACAGAGGGATGGGAGAGCAGCACCGCTGGGAGCAAAAGAGCAATCCCATCAACTTTGCATAACCAAATGCCAGCCTCTCAGGAGAGTGTTTAGAGGGAAAACCTTTGTTTTCACTTCAAGAGTATCAGATAATCCCTTCACTTAATATCCTTATGCTCAGGATCAAAGCATCCCAAAGTCCTCTGGTTTTAATTAAAAGAGTACTACCTGCAGATCTAACACCGTGTCTCGGTCTTCCCGTTTTTAAATCCACAGGAGAGCAAACGCGTGCTCTGAAGCTAATAACAGAGATTGCTCTTCTCTCCCTTATGATTTACATTGCAGTGTTTGGATCTTGGACGGTCGCACCAGCTTCTGTAGGAGCACAGACAAAAAGATGCATCTCTTGGCCAAATGTTAAGAAGCCAACAGAGCAGCGCAGGGATTTTAGCTGGATTACCTGCCTTTGGGAAAAGGTGAAAGCAGCAAGGTGCCCATCTCAGCACTCCTCCCTCCAGTTTCTTTGGTAGTAGTTGTGATTTCTAAAGCATCCCTTGTTTGAGGGAATGCCAAGGCGCTGATGGGAAACGTTCAGTTTTGCTTGCTGGACTCATATTGATTGTTTTGGAAGTAGTTTATAGATGTGTTTTGCTTCAAGGGGGGGGAGAGAAGCCACTAATTTGCCAAGAAACACTTTGCTCATTGTTTCCATTAAATGTGTGTATAGAGATAAAGGTGGCTTTGCTGCTGCTGAGCGCAATAGCAGCCGTTCTTGCTGTTGTTTTCACCTCTGCCTTGTGTTTAGGGTGAACTGGGAGATGGGTCCAAAAGGAGAAATAAAAAAGAGCTGGCATGAAGATTGTCCAAGTTCTCATTCCACAGATCTAACCAATGCTTCCAAAGCCACAGAAATGGGGGTCTTGGGGTTGAATTTATTGTCTCCTCTTACTGTTTGTGGCAGAGTCGTGACCTTCAGAAGGATTGTAAAGTTCTACTTTATGGTCCTGCCGATAAAGAGACGTATGTAATTTATTACAGGAGTCCTTACAGACTTGGCTAACAACAAGTTTGACCCAAAGTTCAAAGAAATTATGGCTCCCGTTGTTTTATTGCTGCTGTGAAACGTGTTATTATCTGTCCTGCAGCTGTGGCTCTGTGTGCTGCACAAGGTGTTCGGCAAAGATGCTGGAAAGGGAGAGCTTTCACATGAAGGGCAAGAGTAGGGCAAGACTGTGTGGCCATTTAAAGGGTGGGTTGGATGGGGCTTGGAGCAAGCTGCTCTAATGGAAGGTGTCCCTGCCCATGGGAGGGGGTTGGAAGTGGATGAGCTTTTAAGGTCACTTCCAACCCAGACCAGTCTGGAGTTATGGTTGAAACGTGGATGAAATGACTGCAGAATCTGTGCTTCTCTTACTGCTGACACTGTTTTACTGCAGGAAATTGAGGCATGGGGCAATTAAGCTGCTTGCCCAAGGTACTGAAAGATGTGGCAGAACCCGCTACAGGTTGGGTGGAGAAGTGATTCAGGGCAGCCCTGAGGAGGACTTGGGGTGTTGGGTGAGGAGAAGCTCCCCATTACCTGGCTTCAGTGTGCGCTTGAGCCCAGAACCCCCCCGTGTGCTGGGCGTGAGCAGCAGCTCAGGGAGGGGATCCTGCCCCTCTGCTGTGTGAAGGGGAGACCCCACACCTGGAGCACTGTGTGCAGTTCTGGTGTCCTCAACATAAAAAGGACATGGAACTGTTGGAACAAGTCCAGAGGAGGCCACAAGGATGCTCAGGGGCTGGAGCAGCTCCTGTATGGAGACAGGCTGAGGAAGTTGGGACTGTTCAGCCTGGAGAAGAGAAGCTGCGTGGAGACCTCAGAGCAGCTTCCAGTGTCTGAAGGCGGCTACAAGGATGCTGGGGAGAGACTCTTCATTAGGGACTGTAGTGACAGGACAAGGGGTGATGGGTTCAAACTGAAACGGGAAGTTCAGGTTGGAGATAAAGAAGAAGTTCTTTATTGTGAGGGTGCTGAGGCGCTGGCACAGGGTGCCCAGAGAAGCTGTGGCTGCCCCATCCCTGGCAGTGTTCAAGGCCAGGTTGGACACAGGGGCTTGGAGCAAGCTGCTCTAGTGGAAGGGGTCCCTGCCTGTGGCAGGGGTTGGAACTGGATGAGCTTTAAGGTCCCTTCAACCCAAACAGTTCTGGGATTCTGGGATTCTATGAACTGACCCAAATCACCCAACTCTTTGCTCAGCACCTCCCCACAGGACTTCCCTCTGTTTGCCTTTGGGTGCGCTGCCAGACCAAGAGCCAGGCAGGATGTTTGCAAGTGCTCCGCATTCAAATGCATTTTTGGCATTTCTAAGCTCCTAGACTGTGCTTCAGTGATTTTTATCTCTCCCACATGTCCCGAGGCCCTTCGGAGGCAGCACTCCTGCTGTTCAGCTTTAGTACTCCTACAATTGATTTTTTATTCCTGAATAATTCGAGGCAGCCAAGAGAGTACGTGTTTAATTCTCTTTGCAAAGCCTGATCTTCCTTTTGCTCCTCACCAGTAGCTCTTTATCTTACTGCCTTCAGCAGGTTAATGTGCTGACACCCGTGTGCCCTGTAAGAGCGGTGGTCTCAAGGTTCAGAAGGCACTGATCATGCAAAATGCACAGAAGAAATCAGTGTGGTCTGGGAGGTGGCCTCAATACACAAGGCTCAGGGGAGACCTGATTGCTCCCTACAAGTGCCTGACAGGAGGATGGAGCCAGGAGGGGCTGGGCTCTGCTCCCAAGGAACAAGGGATGGGACAAGAGGAAACAGCCTCAAGCTGCACCAGGGCAGGTTTAGATGGAGCTGAGGAACAATTCCTGCCCCAGAGGGTGCTCAGGCATTGGAACAGGCTGCCCAGGGCAGGGCTGCAGTCACCGGCCCTGCAAGGGTTCACACCCCGTGGAGACGAGGCCTCAGTGCCATGGGGCAGTGGTGGCCTTGGCAGTGCTGGGGAATGCTTGGACTGGGTGAGCTTAAAGGGCTTTTCCAGCCTGGTTGGTTCCATGATTCTATAAGCTTCTGTGTCACATTATTATCTACTCTCTGCCATGACTTCTATAAGAGCCAGATTTCCATCCACAAGGAGAAATAGTTGTATTTCATAGGCACAACAGTTTTGTAATACTGCTTTTATGGTGTCTTTCCCACCAAAGTGATTTTTGAGCATTAACTCAGTGCTATCTTTGTGGCCCCTTGTTGATCCTGGGCTCCAAGCACTCAGTGCTGTGATTAAGCTGTGTGAAGCAGGCTTGTGATCCATACTTGGCTGAGACACACATCTCCTGTTTTCTGCCTGTTGATGAAGGCATGGCCACAGGCTGCCCATCCACGCATGAGGCAGCCAGACACACACCATAGACAGCTTCCAGGCCTACTGACCTCTGTGTTGGTGCTGCCAGGGCTGTTCACATAGCTGGGATGCTCCAGGTGGAAAGTCAGCAACAAAGGGGCTTGGCAGAGGCTATGGAGAGAAGCATGAGAGGATCAGGGATGGATTTCCAGGCTCCCCTGCCTGAGTCAGGAGCAGGTTTCTCCCATTTCTGCGCTGAGCAATGGCAATCAGTGCTCAGTCAATAGCCAGTTTGCACCTCTAGAGATGCAGCTGCGAGCGCTTGCCTTCTGCAGCCATGCTGGCATCGCTTTGCCTTGTCGTGGCAGGTTCAAGTCGCACAACGGCATCTCCATGAAGCACTTGAAGTGACCTCTGCGGTTGTTTAGTGTCAATGAATCACTGTGTACGTCCAGGCTTGCCCAGCAGCGTGTGCACAGGGTCAGAGGTGTGAGAAGGGGCTCCGTGCAGCAGCTGAAGTGCTGGGCAGGGTGTGCTATAGGTGCCTGTGTGTACACAGGCATTGGGTGCTGCTTTCCCAGGTCTCCCTGCACGTCTGAGCCTTGCCACCCGCAGAACCTGAATCACCATGCACATCACATCCAAAGGCCTGGTTTCTGCAGTGATTTCAGTCTTCCAATCCCATTCTTATTAATGGTATTAGTAAATTGCTAGTGTTCAGGGTGATTTAGGAAGTTAGGTTCAAGATTTAGGGTTCAAGTATTTAAAGGACTTCATGAGCCTCTTTCTTAACAAACTTGATGGGTGACTTGCTGGGCAGGATTGCATTGTGTCATACAATCACAGAACCAACCAGGCTGGGAAAGCCCTTTAAGCTCACCCAGTCCAACCATTCCCAGCACTGCCAAGGCCACCACTGCCCCATGGCACTGAGGCCTCGTCTCCACGGGGTGTGAACCCTTGCAGGGCCGGTGACTGCAGCCCTGCCCTGGGCAGCCTGTTCCAATGCCTGAGCACCCTCTGGGGCAGGAATTGTTCCTCAGCTCCATCTAAACCTGCCCTGGTGCAGCCTTGCGTTATATGCGAAACCATGGTGGGTTTAGCACTGTGTTACTGCAGTCCCTGGCTGAGATCTAATGCCATCTGTAACAGTGCTGGTATGGAAAAAAGGAAGAAAGTTTGTGCTAACCCTTCTGAGATACAACATTATCAAGTGTTCATTTCCCAGATCATTACAAACTTGGAACAGCCATCTGGCCAGACCCAGGCATGCATATGGCTGCATCTACAGCTTAGCAGCATTCAGCTGTGAGGGCGGCTGCTCGGAAACATTTGGGAGCTGGAGAGCATCCTTCGGTGCTGATCTTGGAGAGGTCTCTTCGCACTTTGGTCTCTTTATGGTTAATCTGCAGTTCAAAACTGACCTGACTTTTAGGAGGTGTCTGTCTAAAACGCAATCGACGCTTCAGCCAGGCATACAGTTCACTTCCTATGCCTCCAAATGCTTTCAAACCACAGGAGCCTATCACCTCCACCCCTCACTCCGCTGTTCATTTTCACTGTTGAACAAGTGCCGTGTTTCCGT